CTTAAAAAAAAGGCGAACTAAATTGCATATTTTCTTTATTCATAAGGTAATTGGATTTCTGTCAAGTTGATTTTACTCTTTACATTTAAAGAAATATATATCCTTTTTTTTATACAACTTAGAATGGCAAACAAGCTGACGGCCCACCTGATGGAAAATAGTAACCGTCGCTTATAAACATGAGCAGTACCATGGACATAACAGAGTGTATTGTTTCGCCCATGATACCTCCCATGCGTTGCCATTCCTGAGGACTCAGGTGTTATTCCTCTGTACCCAGTAAATTCACGCTATATCCCACCCTTCAAACCGAAACACAGCCATGCAAACACAACTACTTCACGGTTGAAACACGAATGGGACAGAGGTACCCAAGCAATCGACTTTTGTACAAAGTCTCCCTCTGGTAAATGTAATATAATTTAAAACCGTATTTCTTGCAGACAAAGTAACAGCTGACAGTTTTAATCGGCCAGATTAGAATTTGTCGTCGTCCATTATCATAAAGGGTACTCCAACAAAAAGAGTTTTTTTTAACAAATATTAATAACTTCACGGTGAGAATTATCTTTGAATCGGAGAGGATTTCCTAGCCATTTATCAAGCTTTACGTTGGTGGGACATTGGAAAGTTTTATAAAACCAGATAATAATGATTCTTAATTACAGCGTCAATTGATTCAATTTAGAATGGCGATGGTGATAATCTTCAGTAACGTAATAGAAAATGGTAAGCAGATTATTGATAATCTTTAAATATTATGTACTAGCGGCCCGTCCCGGCGTCGCGCGGGTGGACATTTTTAACATTTCCCTTCACTGCTCTGCTCCTATTGATCGTAGCGTGATAAAAAGTATACTATAACCTGTTCAGAAGTATGAAGAATAATTGTACTAAGTTTCGTTAAAATTCGTCGAGTGGTTTTTGTTTCTATAACGAACATACAGACAGACAGACAGACAAAAATTTTACTGATTGCATTTTTGGCATCAGTATCGATCACTAACCACCCCCTGATAGTTATTTTAGAAATATATTTCATGTACAGAATTGACCTCTCTACAGATTTATTATAAGTATAGATTATATATATGTACAAGATGTAGTGGAGGATCCCTCATTAGATGGTGTGACGATCTGAAATCAGGACCGTTTCTTTATGACAGTCTATGAAAGAAGCTTATGCCCAGAAGTGGACGAATGGCTGAAATGATGACGATGACCAGAGGGAGACTGTACAAAAGTCGATTGCTTGGGTATCTCTGTCTCATTTGAGTTTCAACCGTAAAGTAGTTGTGTTTGCATGGCTGTGTTTCGGTTTAAAGGGTGGAATATGGCGTGAATTTACTGGGTACAGAGGAATAACACCTGAGTCCTCAGGAATGGCAACGCATGGGGGGTATCATGGGGGAAACAGTATACTCTGTTATGTCCATGGTACTGTAGATTATGTGGAAGGTTGATCTATCAGGATGTACTAGGGGAAAGGGATTGTCAATAATGCAGTTTATCAGTCCCATTGCTAGCAATACACCCTATCAGTTCGGCATCCACTTGGTCCCTCCTGGACCCTTGTTGAATTCTAAGTGTAATATATAAAAGGTCGCCTAGAAATTCTTAACACCAGAGGGCGACGCCTGTATACAGGTAGTAGTTTTTTCAATGGATTAAAATGGAATAGTTACCCCGCCTGCATCATCAGTATACGTTGGCAAGACAAGGTAAAAGGGAAACCGGGTAAAGGTTAACCTGATAGGGTATGTAGCCAGCATTGGCGCAGTTAGATCCCATTACTAACAATCCATTTCCCTCCACAAGTAATAGTAGTAGTGGAGGATTGAAAAATATAAAGACGTTTCATTTTTTTAAGACCGCAGACAATATTATTTGTTGTGTATTTTATGTTTTTAAATTAATATATGGTTTTTATTATAGGGTATATTATAGTTAGAGTATTATGGTTTTTTTTTATTGTTTGTATTTACTTTGTATGTACTTATCTTACAAATATATTTATGCTAAATTTTAAGTGTTTATATTGCAATGTGCACAAATGCTATGACTGCATATTTGATTATTAATTAACAATTTAATTGACATAAAAAGGTTTACTGAAAGAAATCTCTTTTTAGAGATAAGCTCGACTTTATATGGTACATTACGTCTTCACGTATACCGTTAGCGTAGGCGTGGTGACCATTCTATTATCATTCGTGGAAAAAATAAAGGATATACTAGTAATGAAAATAAATAAATGTACTAGTAATGAAGCCACTAACCGCAGTTACTAACAATAACCCCAGATTATATGTATTATGAATTAACAATATGTTAAGAGCAATTATATTTAAGTAATGCAACCTCTTTACTGTTTTTGTATGATACATTGTTTTGACAGCTTATGTAAAATTAAAAATAATATTAAAATTGTCAATATGGAAAAAAATGCAATCTTTGATTAAAATGCAGATTTTTATTTAAAATAAATAAAAATACATTCATGGCATATACATTTTGGTCCTATGAGCCGAAAGGATAATTTAATTGCTACCGTTTTAAGTTCTGTGATGAGCTGTGGTATTCAATTGCAAAACGGTAAGAAATATTGCGACGGCTGAGGACGGAGACTCTGCTGCTATCATCGAGTGGCTTTCAAGTATCAATTGCAGCAGTGTGTCAGTCTCTGTATTAGTTTCAAGGAAAACTGTGAGTACAATTTGACATCCGACTTAGAAAATATTCATCGTTTAAATATTGAATTGAAAAATTATTGAAAATGGATGCAAACCTACGAGTTTTAGAAGATATTAAAATTCAAATAGAGAAAGCAAGAATCAATTTAAAAAAAGCGCCGAGAGATAGAATAAATGAAAAATATTTAGAAACAAGACTTCAGATTCTAGAGAAACAATACAATAATTTTACGTCAAAACATGAAAAGTTAATCGCTCTGTATGAACCTAATGTTTTAAATGCTACTGATTATGTCAAGGATGAAGTGTTTGAACTAGTGACTGAAACTTATTTAGATTATAGAGTAGAATTAAAAAATGCTTTATCTAATGTTAAGTGTTGTACCTCAAGTAGTAATTGCGAAGTTTCACCTAACTCTTCTAAGGCAGATTCGTTGGTTAAATTACCCAGAATCCGAATACCTGTGTTCACAGGCCGGTATACTGAATGGACTTCATTCCGCGATTTATTTCTCTCGCTTGTCCACAACAATCCCGTTTTAGATGATGTACAAAAGTTGCATTATTTAAAAACACAACTGTCAGGTGAAGCAGAACAATTGATTAGGCATGTACCGATTACTCAATCTAATTATATAAAATGTTGGAACATGTTAACAGATAGATATAATAATAAAAGGTTTATGTCAAATTGTATTTTAAAGCGACTTTTCAGTCAACGTAACATAGTAGCAGAATCTTCTAGTGCTCTTAAGGAACTCCTAGATACAACCACTGATTGTTTACATGAGCTATCGAATCTTGGTATTGATACGGAGTCCTGGGATATTATTGTAATTTATATTATGGGTTTGAAATTGGACGCTGAATCTCGGAAACAATGGGAATTGCAGGTGAGTCAGTCATCTAAAGATTTACCGTCATTTCAACAATTCAAAGAGTTTTTAGAAACGCGTTTTCATGCTCTGGAATTCGTAGAACCCATATATAAGCCAAAAATTGTTCAGACTAATGCTAATAATCCAAAGGTTTTGCATACTGTGTCAAATATTACATGTCCTCATTGTTCTGAAAATCATAGGTTATACAATTGCAAAAAGTTTTCTCAGGAGAATGTTGATAAACGTCGTAGTATTGCTGAATCGCTTTCCTTGTGCTTTAACTGCTTAGGTATTAATCATAATGCAAAAAACTGTCGTGTATTTAACAAATGTCATGTGTGTAAGCGTAGGCATCACACTTTATTGCATCCCAAAGATCAAGCTACTGCAGATGTAGTCGCTACTACATCACAAGTTGAAGAGGTTGAAGATTCACCTCAGTCAGCAGAGACCCCATCAAATATAGCATCCCATTTTTTGAATGGAAGTAAACGAGGACAAGTCCTTTTACCCACAGCTATTATCAAAGCTGAGTCAAAAAATGGATCAATCCAGGTACTAAGAGCTTTGTTAGACCAAGGGTCACATGCATCTTTTATATCGGAAGCAGCTGTACAACTCCTTCAATTAAAAAAGGTACCTAGTAAATGCATTGTTTCGGGAGTAGGTGGTACTAGTAATGACAAAATTTCCAAAAACGTTGTTGTTGTCAATCTCCAGTCGCGGTATGATCCTTCATTTAAAATCCAAGGTAACAGCTAGAGTGGTAGATACAGTAACATCATTATTGTCTGAAAGAAAATGTATAGTGTCAGATTGGCCAAAATTGCAAACCTTTCAATTAGCTGATCCTCATTTTAATTATTCTAATAAAATTGACATTTTATTAGGGGCGGAGGTGTATGGCAATATCTTGAAACCTGGCCTAATGAAAGGTCCAAGTGGCACTTTAATAGCTCAGGATACTTACTTGGGTTGGATATTGTCCGGTCAAATATATGAGCAGAATTCTTCGCAGGGTTGCCATAATGTCATAGTTAGTATGCATAGTCACGCTACTGATGTTGATTTATTAAAACATTTCTGGGAGTTAGAAGATAAACCCTTTTCTAATATAAATAAAATATTTTCTCCTGAAGATCAGGCTTGTGAAGATTATTATGCAGCAACAACACGTAGGGATGAATCTGGAAAATATGTAGTTAACTTACCTTTTCGCGATGATCCTTCTCTTAAATGTGAAAATTCTAAAGCTATTACTATAAAAAGATTGCATGGGCCAGAACGCAAATTTTTAAAAAGATTCAAATTTGAAACGCCGGTGTTCAGGGGTTATTAATGAATATTTGACTTTTGGACACATTGAGAAAATTGCTGAGGAATCGGATAAAAATAAAGTTGTTGCATAAATTTACCTCATTACGCGATGGTTAAGGAAGAAAGAACTAAGGCAAGGGCGGTTTTTGATGCATCGGGCAAGGGTAGTAACGGTATATCCTTGAACGACACTACAATAGTAGGGCCCACTTTACAGCTAGATTTATGACATATTATCATGAGATGGCGTAAATATCCAATTTGTATGGCAGCTGACATCGTAAAGATGTACAGGTAAATAAAAGTAGCAGAGCAACACGTCGATTTTCAAAGAATTGTATGGCGAGAAGATATTCACTCTGAAATACACGATTATCGACTTTTGACAGTCACATTTGGTACTTCTTGTGCTCCGTATTTGGCAGTCAAATCATTACAGCAAGTTGCTTGTGATGAAGGTCATAATTTTCCATTGGCTGCTGAGCGGGTAAAGTCTGATTTTTATATGGATGACATTATGACAGGTTGTTACTCTGAAGAGGAAGTTGTTGAAGTGTGTCGTCAATTGAAGGAGCTATTAAAAAGAGGTGGTTTTGAATTGCAAAAGTGGATGAGTAACCAAATGCATCTACTAAAATGTCTTGATTTAGAAAGAAATAATGAAGAAAGCAATGATAAAGAAAAAGCAAACAATTTAGAAATAAAATCTGATGATATAACAAAACTATTAGGACTTACTTGGAACCGAAATAGTGATGAATTTCATTTCACGGTGAAATCTTCTGAAAATAACGCACCTATAACGAAAAGAAAAGTAATTTCAGAAATTTCACGTTTATATGATCCTTTGGGTTGGGTTGCTCCTTGTATAATTACCTCTAAGGTTTTTATCCAAAAACTATGGATTGCTGGTATAGATTGGGACGATGAATTGCCTTCGGAACTTCTTCGAGAATGGAAGGTGTATCAAACTGAATTATCAAAATTAGTAGATTTCAAACTTCCAAGATGGCTGAAAACAAAAAATAATGATATAATTATTGAGTTACATGGTTTTAGTGATGCTTCGAACGTTGCATATTCCGCTGTGGTTTACATTCGAGTCATAGATTGTGAACATAAAATTCATAGCAATTTAGTAACAGCTAAAACAAAGGTAGCTCCAATAAAACAAATATCCTTACCGCGACTGGAATTGTGTGGCGCAGTTCTACTAGCTAAATTGTTGAGCGAAGTAGCCGAAGTTTTAAGTATTCCAAAGGTACATGCGTGGACTGACTCCACAGTGGTTTTAAGTTGGTTGAATGATCATCCCAGTCGCTGGAAAACTTTTATAGCTAATCGGACTTCAGAGATTCTTGACAGGTTAGATACGTCACAGTGGTCTCATGTTTCATCGAAAGAGAATCCTGCAGATTGTGCATCACGTGGTATTACACCTACAGCTCTTTTAGAAAATTCTCTTTGGATGAATGGACCATCATGGTTGTTGCAAAGGAATATTATATATACTAAACCTAAAGACATAGTTACTCGTTTGGAGGAAAGAGTTGTAAAGGTTCATGTTACAGGTATTAATGCTAATAATTATAATGACATTGTATCAAGATTTTCTTCCCTGAGAAAATTGATTAGAGTAATAGCCATCTGTAGAAGATTTTTGAAATTAAAGGAACCAAAAGGAATCCGTGATTTAATGACACCTTATTTATCAGTATCAGAGCTTCAGTCATCGTTGTTTTCCTGTATACGGCAGAGTCAATTAGAACATTTTAATATGGAGATACAAACTTTGTTACGAAACGAGCCTCTGAATAAAAAAGGTTGTTTAAATTCGTTAAATCCTTTTCTTGATAGTTGTAATATTTTAAGGATTGGCGGTCGCTTAGAAAATTCACAATTGTTCGAATATGGCAAACATCCTATTATAATTTCAAATAATTGTTACTTGGCTAAATTAATTGTCAGAGATGCTCACGAACGAACTTTACATGGTGGTCACCAATTGACACTTAATTTTATACGTACCAAATATTGGATTCTAAGAGCGAAAAATTTGTTAAGAAGTCATATTCATAACTGTGTGCCGTGTATTCGATACGCCGCAAAGGCCAGGACTCAACTTATGGGCCAATTGCCATCATGTCGAGTTACGCCTAGTAAACCTTTTTTATATAGTGGCGTAGACTATGCTGGTCCAATAAATATGAGGGTCTCCAAAGGCAGAGGTCATAGATCCTTCAAAGGATATATATGTCTTTTTATATGTATGGCTACTCGTGCTATACATATTGAAGCAGTATCCGATCTCACATCTGAAGGTTTTCTTGCAGCATTTAAACGTTTTGTTTCCAGGCGTGGACATTGTTGCCAACTTTGGAGTGATAACGGAAGTAATTTTGTAGGTGCTTCAAAAGAGCTTAGGACATTATTTCTTAATGAACAGTCATCAATGTTAAAGGAAGTAGCTTCCACACTGGCAAATAATGGAACAGAATGGCGATTTATTCCTCCTCATGCCCCAAATTTCGGAGGAGTATGGGAAGCTGGAATCAAGAGTACGAAGCATCATCTAAAACGCGTAATCGGTGATTCGACTCTTACCTACGAAGAGATGACGACTGTTCTTTCCCACGTTGAAGCATGCCTAAATTCACGCCCACTATTTAAAGCTAGTAGTGATTCTGGGGATGAGATGCCTCTTACACCAGGACACTTTTTAGTTGGTCAACCCTTAATAGTAGCTCCAGATAATAAGTATGATTTAACGCCACTGAGTAATCTACGCCGTTGGCAACTTACTCAGAAAATGGTGCAATGTTTCTGGCGACGGTGGTCTAAAGAATATTTGATACAGTTTTTTCATCGTTACAAATGGGCTAATTGTACAGCAGGATCTAAAGTAGGTGATATAGTTCTAGTAATGGAAGATAATCTTCCATCAGCTAAATGTTGTTTGGCCGAATTACAGAGTTGTATTCCTGAAAAGACGGTATCACTCGCGTAGTTAGCTTGCGAAGCAAAAATTCGATAATTAAGCGTCCAATTTCGAAACTTTGTTATTTACCAGTGATGAACTGAATGTTAAATGTTTTATTACTTTTATTGCTTAATTTTAATGTTGTATTTTTCAATAATTGTTATTTAAATACTCTAATGTTTTAATGCTTTATTGTGTTGTCTCTGAAATATGTTGTTTTTAATTTTATGAGTTAAATAGCTTTTTATTTATCTATTGTTAACTGGTCTTGGGGTTAAATATTTATGTAATGTAGTAATATGTTTTGGTTAATTTTTTCTTATACTTAGGTTATGGACTATTCGTCCATGGCGGGCGGAATGTTAAGAGCAATTATATTTAAGTAATGCAACCTCTTTACTGTTTTTGTATGATACATTGTTTTGACAGCTTATGTAAAATTAAAAATAATATTAAAATTGTCAATATGGAAAAAAATGCAATCTTTGATTAAAATGCAGATTTTTATTTAAAATAAATAAAAATACATTTATAGCATATACACAATATCCTTTCAATTCTATACTTATTCATTACTGAACCTGAAAATGATAATTCACAAATAGCTTTCCTATGAATAGGGCAACATTATCTAGACAATGGCAGTATTAAGAGATTAAACGGATCTTCGGGTGCTCCATAATCCGCAAGCAGTGCGTTGGTCAAGCTATTTATCACAAGACACGGCTCTTTTGTGGTCACTGAAGGGTCTGGATACTCTGTATTAACACCTCACTAAAACATTGCGGTTTAGATATTTAACATTTTGAAGCAATCTCGTATTTATAAATAGAGTTATTATAGAGTTTATGTATGCATATCTATGTTTATGTATGCAGTGCAATTAATAAATTGTTGGTTTAATAAGAAATTTAATAATTGTTAATTTAGCACTGCACGTACTAGGTCAATATATAGGTATATAATATAGGTATCGCCCCACTATTTTAGTCTTAATTTACTGTATTTGTATTTAGTAAATAAGATTATTTTTATTCGTTAATATTGTCAGTTATAACTAAGTCATTGGAAATATACATCTCTACTGAGGGGAAAGGGATTGTTAGTAAGGGAGACTGAGAATCCCATTGCTAGCAATATACCCAACCAGGTCGACCTCCTCGCGGTTCCCCCTGGAAACTATCATGATTAATTCCTGATGAATTCATCATGATGGGCTAACTGGCCTGTTTTCATTCTCATCTATCATCCTTCACTGGTGCTCCGCCAGCATATCCCGTTAGCGTAGGCGGGGTTACCATATCATTTTCACCCATCAAAAAAAAATACATCACTACCAACCTCGTCGTGTCAACACAACCCGCAACAGTCATCATCTAAAAAATTAACGAACCATATTAAAAAAATATAAAACCCAAAATTTTTAATTTAAATCCTTAACTTTATTAGAAGATTTTCATTTTAGTTCGATTTTTGTTTATGTTTATTATTTTAGAACTTTATCATTTATAAACCGGTTTGGAAGATTCGTTCTTTATCTAAAAAGATAAATGGATACTTTCGGACTGATTCCATAGAAATTTTATCAAAATAAGTCCTATAGTTTAGTTTTGAAATGAAAATAACATTCATACACAGACAGCGCAATCCTGCTAGAAACGATTGGATACGTAAAGCACAGGATCATACAATGTGGCGAATTTTGAGAAGCCTATGTCCAGCAGTGGTCTACTGTGGGCTAATGACAATAATGACGAAAAACACTCATTAGTCTAGAATAATAAATGTAAGAGAAAATCTTGCAGTGTTAAAAATGTTTTTATACGATTTTATATGAAAACAAACATACAAAAAAATCAAATATTCTCTCTTTATAACATTACTCTAGATGGCCTGTATTTATATTTAATCCATTTACATAAATAAGTGGCAAACGCAGAAACTCTTTTAACAAGTAACCGAAGTAAGAAACCAGCCACAATATATTTATCCAAAAACATCGAGAGCGCACGAAACTTTGACATTTTCGGCAACTTGATTACTTTAGATTGACATTCCCCATTTACTTATTGTTTTACAACGGAGTCCCGGGAAGGTATTATCTTCCTTTTGTATAAAAGATAAGATGACAAGAAACTTTTGCGGTTAACCCGGTATATACCCGGTCAAAAGTCGATCAGATCTGGTATTGTTTTTAGTTAAAAAGTTTGCCAATTTTTACTTCAATATTAATTATGATATAATCTATGTTGCAGCATAGGAAGGTAAATTATTTGTATCATCTGTGAGACATGACCATCTACCATCTAGTATCTGCCATCGTACAGTTCGCCATCGATGGAGAGTTCACCCTCTCTTTAAAGCCTAAATGGACGTATACAGCACGGTTTCAAAGATATTTCCTGCTACGAACGCTCTGGTAATGGAGTGAGTTCCCTGTCAAGGATTTTCTAAGTGACTACAGCATGGGGTTTTTCAAAAAAAGGGATAAAGAGGTTTCTGCTAGAACGGCAACGCGCGCGTAATGCGCCTAGTGCTGCAGACGTTCGTAGGCAACGGTAACCGTTTACAATTAGGCGGGTCGTATGCTTGTTTGCCACCTTGTGTGGTATAAAAAAAAATATTTAAAACTCTACTTAATAATAGAATACGTTGCATATAAATCTACCACTAAAACTATGCACCTATTTCATATTTTGCTTTGGCGTTTTTTAATAATTTCTGTTATCAAAATTCAAATTTAAAGTCACATCTTAATAGGTATATTATTGTACTAGCTGTTTCCCGCGGCGATGCCCGCTTCTAACTATGTAGTTCCCGCATATCATTCCCATTGGAACTCTTCATGAATACGGTCTTATATTCTATTATGCATTTAAATGATAATTACATTTAATTTACCCATTCCCTAGTCACTAGTGTGCGATACATAGATAAACATCTAAATAATTTACTCTGTACGTAGCTAAATTTAATTTGTATTTAAAAATATGCAGATAGATTCGTTGGAAAGGAAAAAAAAAAGAAAGACGGCCCCTTCCTTTCAGCCCATCAACGGAATTACAGCGAAAAATAAGAGAACAAAAATATAGATATTTTACTACAGTGGCATGTTCGACCCTTACTACAATTCCTTTATTTGCCTACAATATCGCATTTTCCTTAAATAAACAGTAGAAGCATTACCCATATTGCTGTTTTGCTCGCATTTCCAAATGTGATTGGAATGTGTCTACTTTACAAATGGATTATGCAAAGAGATATAAGATTTTCGTTATTTTTGTGTGAAGTAAATATTTGTATAATAAGAATGAAAAATATTAGTTTTCCAAGGGCTTTCCACAGTGAAGAGACACTCGATTTGAAATTAGAAGGGTACCTCTGTTTCACTCATGTTTCTGCCGTGAAGCAATCGTGTTTTGGCTTGAAATTACAAGGTACTAAGTAGGAATGGCAACGCATGAAAAGTGTCATGTGTAACGCAGTAATTTTTTATGCAACTTAGAAGGGCAAACAAGCTGACGGCCCACCTGATGGAAAGTGGTAACCGACGCCTATAGACATGAGCAGTACCATGGACATAACAGAGTATACTGTTTCGCCCATGATACCCCCCATGCGTTGCCATTCCTGAGGACTCAGGTGTTATTCCTCAGTACCCAGTAAATTCACGCCATATCCCACCCTTCAAACCGAAACACAGCCATGCAAACACAACTGCTTCACGGTAGAAACACAAATGGGAGAGGTGCCCAAGCAAACGACTTTTGCATAAAGTTTCTCTGTGCTAAAGTATATTTTGTTAACGATGCTTTCATGTCAGTAAGTGACAGTTTTATCAGGTGGCAGACTCTTTTTATCAGGTGGGCTGTTGCCATGATGTCTTATAAAAAATCACTTTACAATGTCTTTGTCAGTTTAGAGTATTTCTGTTTAATAAATCTCTTTATTTTCAGGTATTTATTGGTCTTAATAATAATAATTAATTAAGATTGAAGTCGATGTTCATATTCGATTTTCAAATTTTAAATTATTCTTAGAAACCTTTTTAATTTCAAATATCGACAAGGACGGTTATAAACGGATATAATGTACCGACAAAACAACGGAATACATATTTGGCAACGGAAAATTCTAAAAACGAAATATTTGAACAATTCGAAACGTTAAGAAACATTTCATTATTATCGTTTGCATTTTGGTGGGAAACATTAATGTGAATATTACGCAAAGCAAAATAATACGTATTGCGGTGATGCAAGACATCATTTAGAGATGTTATAGCAATTTTCAAATAGAATTTCACAATCTCTGATCTTACAAGTCCGCAGCCGCTTTGTGATAACTTTTGCGGGGTGCTTAAGTAAACTGTTCATCTTGTATTCGTATCTTTAAAAGTTGAAATGGTATTTTAATGATCAAGTTTCATCTATTACCAGAGTTATTGTGACCTTCGTAATAAACGAATGTACCTTAATCGTCTTTAAATAAAGAATTAACATTTCCAAATTCATAAAAAAAAATATGAATTTTGAAATATCAAACATGTTGATTGCCGATCAGATGGAGAATGATGACTGTGGGTGATCTTAGGAGACTAGGGTCGATCTAATAATTTGCCTGAAGATATCCCGTTTAGAGGTGAAACACGTTTCGCAAAACGTGCGTGGACGAAATGGCGGTCGGAGATTGAGGGCTAATATGGAAAATCGTAGAACTTTTGATAATAATAGTAGCGCCTACAGCTTGCGCTCAGCGGGGCTAGGCACGCAGTTAGGCTCACGCTCACTCATCACAGTCGCTCATGACTAAGCATCACGAATTGATTCGTAAACTAGACGAACTTTTTCGATTTTCCCAAGGTTTTCCCAAGAGACTACAGCATGGGGTTCTTCAAAAGGGGGGTAAAGAAGAGGTTTCTTCAGGGTCGGCAACGCACGCGTATTACCTCTGGTATTGCAGGTGTTCATAGGCTACGGTAACCACTTACCATCAGGTGGGCCGTATGCTTGTTTGCCACCTCAGTG